CCCCCCCTTATTTTTTCCTTCCCCCCTTCCATAAATGATGACCGGTCTCTTATTGTTAAAATCGAGGAAGTCGTTAAAATTAAACTGTTTAAACTTGTAAGATCTTCGCCCCAGTTTGGGAACATTTTATATAATGTCCTTTCAAATAATGTACTTGCCCTTGCACGGTTCCCATTTGTAAAAAACTGCGGTAAATCATATCCCCCTTTAATTAATTTGATCTCATCCGTGAGTCGGCCTCGAAGGCCTTTGATCATATTTGTAGTCAATATATTGTTCTTTTTTCCAGGAATATGTTTAAATTCCTTGGTCATAATCAGCTTATGGAAGTCTGCGCTATTCCGCAAGAAATTATGTTATTTCATGATAATGATTTTGTCCTGTTGCGACCTTCTTTCCGTTTTAACTAATCATCCATCGAAGGCTCTTACTGCGATGCTATGGTTGACTGGCTCTTCTAAAGAATACCCTAGTTGGTTGGATATTCCCTTAAGTTTATCAAATACTTTCCTTGCCTTTTCTATGCTCGCTCTTCTCGTCATGAATTTGGATCGATATTTGGCGACATGTTATCCTATCTTTCATCGAATATCGGTAACGAAGGGAAGACTTTTAGTCCTTTTTGCCCTACTAAGTATCATATTTCTAACTCTGGCGCTGATATCTGTATACAACTTCGTTATTTCCTATACAGTTTTTTTATTAATTTGTTTTATTATTCTCTTTCCTCTAATGATTTTCGTCAACTACAAATTGTTCACAATCGCGAGAAAATATGGTAGAAATAGGAGAATAACATCGGGGATGAAAAGGACGTTTTCTTGGAAACATACTGTATACCGAGTTGCATGCTGGCAGTCGTTCGCTTTGCGGTGCTGTCAATTCCAACGTGCGTTTATATTTGGTTAAGATTAACGTCAATTTATTCCTCGAAAGAGTTGACGACATGTACTTGTCAAACAAAACTTGCAAGGCTTTGGAGTACAACGATATTCTCAATGAATTCAACTTTTAACAGCTTAATATTTTTCTGGAAAAACAAGATTCTACGCACCGAGGGTATGAAAATTATTAAAGGCTTTAAAGTAAGTCGACGAGATCAATCCTAGTCAGGATCAAAGTAAAACTTTCAGCTTTCCAGTGTAGTTTTATGTAGCCATCTCGACGTTACAATTTTGTTCATTCCTAAATGTGGCTTCCCATGAAACATCTATCCATGCGACATCTGTGAATTTGGCACTAAACGTTTTTAAACTTGGTTACTGGATATGTGGTGGATGTTTCAACAAAAGAACAAATTCAAGAACAAAACAAAAAAGTACAAACAAAATATGGCTTTAATGGTAAAGAATTAAGGAAGAAGACAAATTCGTGTAATACTTGCAGCTGTTCGTTAAAATAAATTAAGAGTATGAAACACCTCATGCAGGCGTTTATCCTGTAGTATTACTCCATGCAGCATTAAGCCCTCTTCACTGGATCTCCAAGAAGAACAGTTTAGAACTGATGCACAATTTGGTTATGACGAGTATCGCTGAAGGATGCCGTCCAATATAAAGTGCGAAAACTGTCCAATATAAAGTAAAATTAAAAGTTTCCTCTTCTGTCAACATGCATGCAGTTTGAACTTTATGTGTAATAGTTGTCTAGAACTGATAGAAACTAATATAGAGCTATGTAGTATGAATAAAGTTTGAGTGAGACATCTTATATTTTCTTAATGAGGTAAGATCAAAAGCGCTTAGCGCTTCAGCCATCTGTCTTTCGTATTGTATAATTTATGCAACCTCAACGGAATAGTTCTAAACTGATTGTTAATAAGGATACTTAATATGCATGAATAACAACATACAGGGTGTTACAAAAAACCTCAAAACTACTGAAATAACGTATTGTTATAGAGTTTGACATAAGTGAATTTTATGCATAAAGAAACCTTTTAAGAAACTGCTTTAAATTCCCAAGAGCAGATATTGTAATTTCTTAATTAGTCAATATTTATAATATATGCATCCTGTCAATATTTTACACTTCTTTGCGCTCAGCTTAGTGCTAGAGTATTCAAGTTCTAACAATAGTTGGGTTTTTTTTGGGACTTCCTGCAGTTTAACATAACACGCCATCGTGTAATGTGTTGACTCTGTTGTCAAACGAAACGTGGCTTATAGCGCTTGATGTTAAAACAGTCAACAGTGTTTGGAAAATAAAGGCGAGGGGTTATTGCATGCATGTATTTCTAGCAACAAATCTATTTAATATCAGGGCCTATCAGGGGGGGAGGGGGCAATTTGCCTCGGGCCCCAAGTGTAGGGAGGGGGAAAATTTTGAAAATTAAAAAAAAGAATTTGGAACGTTTTTTGAAATAATTGATGAGCTGGGGAAAATTTTATAGACTAAAATTTTGCAGATGTTGGGACAAAAAAGGGTTTTACCGGTGTAATTTAACAAGAATTTGTTCGGAAAAAATTTTTTTGAACCTTGAAGTGAAGGTCAAGTCCGTTCTGCGCATCGGTTCTGCTCATAACAATGTGAGGACCACTTCCCCCCCTCTCCATAAATAATGACCACTCCCTAAAATAAAGCGAAGTGTGCAGTTCATCAAACATCGCGGGCCTCTGGCTATGATTCAAGGGCGGAACTCCCTCTGACTGAGTGAGCTATTAGTTATTTCTCAAATTCATTAATAATCACCTATTTGATCACAAGATTCCATTTGGATAACCCGGTGAAACTTAATGAAAGTCACTAGTGTTTTCATCAATTATCTTAGTTACGTGTGCAAAATTACTTGAATAGAATTCCCGATTACGTTATGCTTGGTTAAGAATTCTATTCAAATCAGCAAACAAAAACATTCTGTTACGTCTCGATTCATTTGAGAAGCCATATAAACAACTCGAGCTCGGGATATCGTGAACACTCGAAAACAATGTATGAAAACACTTGCCCTTCGCGCTAGTTTCATACATTGTTTTCTCGTGTTTGGATATCCCGGTGAAGCACTCACTCTCGTGGTTCATATATTACATCTTAATGCACAATTTTTGAACAAACATTTTTTCAGCAGCTACAGAAATACAGTATTACAAACTACACAAGCCGAAGTGCGCAGGTATTTCCGTTTTGACTGTAATTAAAATGTCAGCAAATAGATTTTGTCCCCCCATCAGCAGACTGTTCTGTTGTTCTGTGATAGGATAGCCTTGAAGGTGCAATTTGTTGTGCAAATGAAAATTCATAGCTAAATCTCAATCATATACGTGCATGGCTGCGGCGCGCATTGCCGCGCATGAATTACGCATCTTGTTCGCTTATATAATAAATATTGTTATACTTCCTAAAGCGAAATAAAATTGACATATCACATTAAATTTACCTTTTTGCTTGCAGTACATGACTGTCCTTTTGATTTCGCACAGTCTTCGAATTAAAAATGTCGGCGCCAATAGGCAATGCCAATACTTCTACTCAAACCGTTGTTCGTGCTACTCTTAGCGCCTAGGAACTGCTCAACCCGCAGTCAACCGAACTCTCCGATATAGCGTCGATTTTCCTCACAAGATCGGCCCAACAGACTTGCAAGGCAGCTAAATCATTCACCGCAAATGCGGACTGAACCGTTTCGTAAATACTATAAGGATCGAGTAGCAGACATTTCCCAAATTTCCGTAGAAATCTTTAAAATAAAATCTTTCTACAAAGCCCCAATGTGACACTTTGAATGAGCGCGCGCTCAGAAAGACTTTAGCACGCGTCAACTATTAATGATATTCCGACTAATGGGGCGCCCCTGACTTTTGTAAATCGGTCAGAACTCCCCACAGATCAGTCAAAATCGCACAAAATCGCTTGTTTCCATGGAAATAAGTATCTAGACCAATCAGAACACTGGATTTTGACTTTTTGACTGATCGACTTTGCGTAGTCAGCTGCTCATTGACTTGACTAAGCTCGTCGGCTGTATGAAATTTGATCACTGGACTACACTTCGATTGGAATTAATGTTAATTGCTAGCGCTGCATATAATAGAGACTGGACTGTTATAAGGTGCCTCGATCTGCATGATAAAAGATAATTGGACTATTGTTCGAATACTTAAGACTTTAAGTTCGCAATTTTTACGTTGATCGCGTGACCGGTTTGACGACCCTTAGATCCGCCCCTGTTAGAATACAAGCGTTAGCCCTTCTATGTTACGTTACAGTGTTCAGTGGCAATCTTATGGCGTCAGATTTCCGCCAATATTCATGTTGATATTAATTCAACATGTTTCCGTATTGAAGTGAATTTCGACATTGAACATATCAAATTCAACATGCCACTTTAATTCAACATTGCTTCAATTTCAACATGTTTCCCTCATTGATCTTAATTTGAATATTGAACGTGTCAAATTTAAGTGAAATACAACATTGAAGTATAGATATTGAAGTAATTTTCAATGTTGAAGTTTCAAAACATGTTGAAAACGCATCACTACATGAATTTGAGAAGTGAATATTGGCGGTTATATAGCACCGCGTTAAATATCCGCCAATATTAATTAGCACTTCGTTAAACTTCTCCCCCCGGCATATTCCTATATGACGGCTACGAACGCCGAGCGGAATCAGTGATGAAAATCATGGTGCACTGAACATTATTGAGGATATAATATCACGATTAGATAGCTAGCCTTGGTGACCCAGATTGTGTAGAGGGATTGGCAATACGATTTGACGTTTTAAAGAGATATCTTGTAAATATTAGAATCGACGACATCTGCATGCACTTTAATTGGAATTTCTGGATAGGGTTGGCAAAAATTTAAACCAATTTGAGCAGCGGCAGCGCTATTCCACCATGAATAACTCTGCATTTCCAGCACAAGTTTATGCCGTGGAAAACCTTCGTAGGCCCTTCGTATGATATACAGGAGGAGCAATTAAATTTTTTATAGCGAAGTAAGCAGTATGATGGGTGTACGCAAAGTAACTTTGGAGCGGCGAATGAGGTCATTTATGCAGGAGTGTGCCAGGTAAGAAAGTTATGCACATCCTACACGGCCGACACAGTAATTATATATGCAACACGAGTACTAGCTGTATATATAGAGTCTTATCATCAGGATTTAATATGATCGACTGCACATTAAGTTTTATACAGAACTACAGCATAGAATGAGAACAAGAATACCTAGGTATTTACATCTTTCATCTGCACTTCATTTTTTACCGTTTGAAGAAAAAGGTTAGCTTAGTAATGCACTGCTGAGAAGACACAAAAAGCCTTAAAGCTAGCCCATGTTAGTGGCATGAGGGCGGTTGGTGGCAGTCAGTCCACTCCAGGAACTTGGCATTTTGGATTAATTCATGAAAACTTGAATTTTATTGAAAACTGAACTTTCCAGTCGTGTTTTCGTTTAAGGTCGGCAAACCGCAAATGACCTGATCAGTCTTCGCTAATTCAGAGGTCAGTGTCTAGATTTTTTCACTAACACCAATTCCCACCGACAAGACTAAAGTTGTGGTTTCATGTACATGTACGGCATTACATTTATATCAGTTTCCCTATAGGTTTGTCGACTTGGGTTTTAACATATACAGTGCTGCATAACCACTGTGTTGGCCGTGTATAGGATGTGCATAAGCCATAACTTTCTTACCTGACACACTCGTGCCAAATGACCTCATTCGCCGCTCCAAAGTTATTTTGCGTACACCCATCATACTGCTTACTTCGCTATAAAAAATTCAATTGCCCCTCGTGTATATCATACGAAGGACTTACGAACGTTTTCCAAGGCATAAACTTGTGCTGGAAATGCAGAGTTATTCATGGTCGAATAGCGCTGCCGCTGCTCAAATTGGTTTAAATTTTTGCCAACCCTATCCAGAAATTCCAAAGTGCATGCAGATGTCGTCGATTCTAATATTTACAAGATATCTCTTTAAAACGTCAAATCGTATTGCCAATCCCTCTACACAATCTGGGTCACCAAGGCTAGCTGTCTAATCGTGATATTATATCCTCGATAATGTTCAGTGCACCATGATTTTCATCACTGATTCCGCTCGTTCGTAGCCGCCATATAGGAATATGCCGGGGGGAGAAGTTTAACGAAGTGCTAATTAATATTGGCGGATATTTAACGCGGTGCTATATAACCGCCAAAATCCACTTCTCAAATTCATGTAGTGATGCGTTTTCAACCTGTTTTGAAACTTCAACATTGAAAATCACTTCAATATCTATACTTCAATGTTGTATTTCACTTAAATTTGACACGTTCAATATTCAAATTAACATCAATGAGGGAAACATGTTGAAATTGAAGCAATGTTGAATTAAAATGGCATGCTGAATTTGATATGTTCAATGTCGAAATTCACTTCAATACGGAAACATGTTGAATTAATATCAACATGAATATTGGCGGAAATCTGACGCCATACAATCTAGCCATGACAACTGGTCATGTAATGCTAATAAACCTGCATCATTTGAATAATGCAATTATTAAAAATTTACATACCATGACTGTTGCTATTGTTACACGGGTTCTTCTTTCTTTATATTTTATATTTAAACGTTGACCTAGACCATTCTATACTTTAACATACAAAAGCCATGCCGTTTTCTCTACATGCGCCCGCGATCAACTTGACCGTCAATGATCTACTTCGTGTAAACCTAAGTTATTCATCTAACACTCTCCCCCTCCTGAAATAAATGGCATCCTTGACATTTTGATTCACCTAACACGGAGAGTCTGTTTAAATCAGTTCTTTACTATACTACTTATAACAGTTCTGACGTTTGTTCTGTTCCTTCAAAACAATGGTTGGGTTGATCAAGCCCTCCCAATGTCAAATCTTTTGTTTTCTTCTTTTCTTTTCTTTTCTTTTCTTTTCTTGTCCTGTAACTGATTTCAAAGTATCTTCGGTACTTCTACGAGGATTATAAAATCCTTACAAGTGAATCTAAACCAAATGTTGTTTTCATTTTAACAAAATAAACTTAATTAACTCATTGTCACTATTCTATCGATTATCACTGTCACTATTCTATCTATTAACTCATTGTCACTATTGTTTCTCCTTGTATCTCGAAAGGTTCCTCAGGTTCGCCTTCAGTGGGTAGGATATTACCACTCCGATTATCCGGCTGTAACTCGTCTGATACGTTGTCTTCGACCTGCACTGGTAGCTCCAGCGATTGTTCTCCATCGGATACATCGTGCTTAGAGTCGGCAGTTAATGGCATGCGATGTGAAACTGAAGGGTACTCTTCCTCGTCATCTGATGAACTGTCATCAATAGATGTGTTATGGGTAGATAAACGATCCTGGTCGCGACGTTGTCTAGGCGCTACCACGGCCAATTCGGTAGACAAGTAGTCACAGGGGAGTAGCATATTGCGATGTAACGTACGAGGTTTCTTCTTGGACTCCGATTGGACGTCATATACGGGGCTGTCTGGGCCTTTCCTTGATAATACAACGTGTACCTCATCCTCCCAGAAAGACCGCAACTTCCCCGGGCCTCCTCTTGGTGTCAAATTCCGTACTAAGACCCGGTCTCCAGGTTGAAGAACTGTCGATCGGACTTTCTTGTCGTACTGCTTTTTACCTCGCGAGGCGTTCTTCGATGCTAGGTTGGAAGCTTTGGCGTATGCTTCCTTCATTGCTGTTTGCCACTTCGAGACATACTGGGAATAGGTGGTGGTACCATCTTTATCTCTCAGGTTGAACGCTAGATCAATGGGTAGTCGTGGAGAGCGGCCAAACAGGAGAAAGAAAGGAGCGTAGCCGGTGGCTTCGTGGCGAGTACAATTATATGCATGGACAAGTTTAGACAGATGGTCTTTCCACTTTGTCTTGTGAGTTTCTGGCAGAGTCCGCAGCATTCCAAGCAAAGTTCTATTCATTCGCTCGACTTGACCATTCCCCTGAGGATGATAAGGGGTGGTTCTGGAATG